TCTCATCTTTACAGTCAGTCGCTCAGTACACAGTGTGACTCACATTGTGGTCAGGGAACACCTGTAACACACCCCCAGCTCTCCAGCACCAGAGATGACAAGAGCAGCAAATCTGCTTCTGTGAGGGAGGGACGGTTTAACCTTTCTTTTTTTCCTCTTACCAAAGTGCATTTACCAAAGTGCTTGAATTGATGGACTAGAAATATTCCTCTCTTTATATCTTTATGTCTGCCCTCATTATGACAAGACAGCATAAATGTCCCTATTTTTTCTTTTTTAACATTTTAATGCTGCTGCTGCTACTTCTACTACTAAAACTACTACTAATAATAATAATGATAATAATAGCTATATATAATGAAATATAATTTTCAGCTAAAGTCCAGAGCTGAAACTGAAACTGACTGTGCGGAGTCCAGAAATTCACCATTTGGTTGACTAATTCAATATTCATTAAGTCATTATTGACCCCCCTCCCACTTACTGGCCTTTAAACTCTCCTGCTTCCTGCTTCATCTGTATTTCCTTTGTCGTCCGTGCAGCTCCAGCAGTGGCCTCACTCGAGGGTGAGCTGACTTCCTCCGGCTGCCCTCTGTGAGCGACGCGCGGTTTTCCACTCGGCCACTTCTAGGTACAACAAGTCATCGCGGCGTCTTCTCTGAAATCATCTCCTGCTGCTGGGTGAGGGGATGTCCCGCTTTGCATGAGATGTCATCAGAAGACAAGTGCTCATGCAAAAGGTTACTACTCTGGCTAGCAGTGTGAAGCAGTGGTTAGGGCTCTGTACTGTAACTGTAAAGTTGTGAGTTTACATTTGAGTGGGGGCTCACTGAACAAGCTATTTCACTCAGACGGCTTCAGAAAAAAAGGGCCTTGTTGGAGAAGCGGTACAGTACAAATACAAATTGAAAAACAAGTTCGTCCAAAAAATAATGCAGTATGCTGCAGGTTTCTATTGAATTAATATTGTGGTTAAGTAAGACGTTTTGGAGAGGTTTTCTATCCAACTATGGGTATTGACTCTTAAAAAAGGATGGGTTTGCCAAATATTTTTTAAACGTACTGTAAATGCGGTATTTTCAGCAACCAGAAACAGGCTGAATCCAGAAATAACACAGGATATGTGTGCATTAGTGACAGCCGGGCTTAGTCATTCTGTGACATGAAGCGTGGGCTAGCTAATAACCACTTACATCACAGTAACAATGGCACTTCTTAACCACATTGAAGTTCACTTTCTGTGAAATCATATTCAAGGGGAAAAGAATCTCGCTCTTACAAACTCAAAATGTCTGCCTGAAAATTCCAACTTGCCTGTGCCTCTTGCTCTTACAAATAGGATGTAAGACAGTGGGAGTTATAAACAATCATCAGAAATATCGATGTGTGGTTTTCTGCCCCATATTGTCTTGAATAGTGAGCAGAACATGCTAAAAAAATCGTATAGGGATTGCAATTACCAGAAAACAAACACTTTCAAAATAGGAAGCATTAATAAAATAGTCTTCTGAAGCCATAGTTCAACAGTGAATATATAGGAGGAATATAGTTTTGTCTTGGTAGTGAACCAGTTGTACTAGATCATTTGCCAAATCCTGTCACAGACCAAACCAGAGCAAGCACATACAAACATACAAAACACTTCAGTAATTTAAAGAAACTCTAAACTTTTTGTGCATATAGTATCATGACCTATATTGTTTAGGTATTAAAATAATTTAAAAAAGCTAACGGCCACAGTTTTATTTATGCCTTTTTAAATTGTGTCAGATAATTTGTTAGATTTGATTCTTGTGTTCTTTAACTAATGTAATATTAAGCCTTTTAAAGGGAAATTTACAATTTAGAAAGTGAAAGTTAAATTACTCTATGAATGAAAATCCTGTGTTTAAAGCAAATTATCCTTTAGTATAGATTTAGAAGAAGTAAAGAAGTATGTTAGACCAAATATCTAAGAAGTATGTTAAACCAGGGTTTCCCAGACTAAAGAAATGCAATTATTATTACCATCATCATCACAGAACAGTGGTTTGTGTCCCTTTAACGTTCCTAAAAAATCTTTGGAAATACAGCAGTAACACACTGTGGTGTACCAGCTGAAAACTCTTGAGTTTCTTGAATAAAGCATGTTTTTAAGGGCACAGTGGTACAGCCAATTTTAACAGTTCCTTCATCACAAGTGATTTCAATGTTATTGTTTTTTTACATGTTTTGTGTTTGCATGTACTGTACTGTATGCCTTAAACTTATTTCGTGTGAGCTACTCTGTGTAGGACGGTTTCTTTTTTAATCCCCCACTTTCTACCCCTCAGGAAGTCGATCAACAGGGTGTAAATGGCCTGACTGATTTGCACATGCATATAAAAACAAATCCATGCTTTAAGCAAGCTGACTCAAGATTCCTGTATGCAGTGGTAAAGAGAAGGAATATGTGTGAATGCACAGAAGGTAATAATTTATCATACTAGAGGGGGCTGCTCCGAGACAGTTGTTCTAATTACAGGTTAATTGCAGGTTCCATTTCTCCTTCATTCTGTTTCCCTGAGTCTGTTTAGAAAAGACAAATCCTGTGATTGAGGCAACCTTGCCTTCTAAAATGAGCGAGTGATTTAAAACTGGAAGACTTGAATGACCTTGGCCCCTCACTTGTCTTTAAATTGGAATCTTCACTTTGTGAAATTTATAAAGAGATACGAACTTCAACTCGGTAGGATGCCACTGTTTCATAACAACACTTCTTATTCTAATGCGAAAGCCACATGTGTCAAAACACCTTTCCAGTTTTCTTCCCACAGTTGAATCAAGGAGGAGGTGGAGAGAATGGAATGATAATTCTGTTTTCCATTCAGGGTGATCTTTTTTCATACAGCCATGGAGATTCTGTTTACAGATCGCGAACTTTGCTCCGTCCATTGAGATCTGCATTCTTCTTTATTCACATATTAACTACATTTTCAAAAACAAATTCTACATTCAGCAGAATGTCAGCAATGCCAGTTTGTGTTTTTCATTTAATGTATATATTACATGATTACACCATGTGTGTTACAAGGTCGATTTAGACAAATTAAATAAAAACAATATTTAAAAATTTAGACAAATTAAATAAAAACAAATACTTGTCTCCTTGTTTCATATACAACATGAATCAAAGTCTAATATATTTTTAGTTTATATGAACTCGAAGTCAAGTTATTTTAAAAGTTGTATTTTCTTGTTGTGTAGGATGTGGCAAATGTGAAGGAATGACACTTTAGTGCATGCAGTATCAAAGCACTGATCGGTTAAAGCATTTGATTCCCTTGTTTCTGAAGCCCAAGCTCTCTCTTCATATTTCTTTTCCAGTTATTTTGTTCTCATTATGCAAAATACTGTACATTTTAAGCTCTATTTAAACTACAAGAATATCTTAAAGTGAAACTTGTCCCAACATGTTAAGAAAACATCACAAATGCAAAGCAAAGTCTAAGAGCAGAGAAGAGTTGTCTGTTTTTACCACTAAAGTAATGAAATAAAGGACAGAGTTGGGAATTATTCATGCAAAGAGATAACATTTGCATAGTAACAGCATGCAACCAGAGATCAAGAGTTTACATAACATTACTCAGTAGTGAAGAAAAAAAGGATCTAAGTTTTTATCTGTAGTGCCAGTTGATATAAAGCTTTAGTCTAACATAATACAGTACGTATACCATTCTATTAACTGAAACTGAACTAGGAAAATTAACTTCCTCTTTAAATAAATTTCCCCTTTATTAGCAGATAACAGCTCAGAGAACACTCAGTATCAACTAAGCAGCATCATCGGTAGTCAGGCTAAGACTAATAGGGAAAAAACTACAAACAGATTTGGAGATTTGGAAACTCAGCCAAAACTACAGACAAAAGATTTCGAAACTTAACCATGTTTTAAATGTGTGATGCATTCAAGACTTGAAAAGTAGAGAAAACCAGCTATAGCAGGAAAAGATGATTACTCTTCTAAAAAATTAAGACACACAAATAAACACAATAATAGAAAACTGGGCAAAACACATTTATAATATAATTCTTAATAACTTCAGTTAAATATTTTATTAGAAATACAATTATAATAGATATTAAAGGATTTATTATATATAATTTTGTGTGCTCTCTCACTTGTAACATGGATATACTTTATATTCCTGCAACCCTCACCTGGATAATCAGCTTTTGATAATAGATGGATCTACAAATGTGGACAGTGTGCAATTAGATATTTATGTACAATATATTTTGACACTGTTGAGAATTAGGGAAACAGATTCTTACATCGTATGCGTGCCTGTGATATAGAGCTACTGTAGACAAATGTGGTTTTCTTTTTACTTTAACCTGCAGACAGATCAGTCATGCTACCGAGATCTTTTATTCTGGTGTCCGATCACCGTTCAAGTGAAAAACAGCTGCTCATTCTGAAACATTCTGAAAAGTAATTGTGTCTCTATGGAAAGGGTGTGACTAGGCACCGTATATAATGATTTTCATCCTAATTCACAGATTGAATTATAGCCATAAGCTAACACCCCCACTTTTATGAAAAGCACTGTGGCTTTCACTATTAATGACCAAATAGACAGGACACTTTCTATTTAACATCTCATCCCAGAGTCCTACAGCACAGATGTTCCCCTTAACCATACTCGGACATTCTTTTGTACATTGTAGTCCAGAAGGAAGAGCTCCACCTATTGGTCCTCTAATATTACTTACAGCTGCAACCTGTTTTTTCTTGGGCAGTTCCTATCCCAGCGCTGTCCAGGTTCTGCCTAGCTTTGCCTCTGAGATGTGACTGGAGCAGGCTACAAGGTAGTAATGCTGGTGTCAGACAGTTTTTTGTAAAGATTTGGGAATATTCTCGTCGTCAGTTATCGAAACATGCCCACTTGTGAAAGAGGAAAAACAGGACGGAAATGCTACTTTTTATTATGTATTTGTAGCTCACTAAAATACAAAGTAAAAAAAAAACTCTGCCCAGATGATGTTACAAAAGAATCTTTAATCTTTAACATTTATCTATGTCACAAGCACAAATCCCAAACATGTAAAGGATTAATATTTTCATCTCATCGGATGTACACTGAAAGCTATACAGCCAGTACACTCTGTTATTACACAAACCTATTGCATGGTAAACAGTTTTAGGCAACCTGCACAGCAAATACAAAAGTGTCTCTTCCATAGGAACAAGTACGTAAACACAAGCTAACCTTGTATTTAGAAGCAATATAAAGAGGCAGATCATTGTTTGCCTAGGTGATAGGCAGTGAATCAGCATGAATCATTTCTATTAGAAACATAATATTTGATATGTACACATCACACAAGAATTATCTACCGATATCCCCAAGCATTGCTAGTACCTCTGAAACAGTAGTTGCTGACAATAGCTACATTTTTTATAGTGCACTATTCCGTGTTTAAAAGTTTATAGGTTTATTGATTTTATATGTTTTACATCACATTATACAATGCATAACGCTGTCTTAATGCCTGGAAGCGTCCTCAAATGCTGTTATATGAGAACGTCCCTCAAAACCATGGGTCCAGCTTGTTCACCGTGGGTGCATGGCTGAGCTTGGACACGGGGCTACATTCCACTCGGCTGTCCCTCAAGCACAGGGTCAGGCCTTTCCAAGGCACTGACTCCACAAGTCACCCCAGTAAATGTTCTGGGCCCCTGTCGAATTCTAATTGACTGGCACCTCCCGCGTTCCTCATGAACAGGCCTTCCTGCGCTGGAGGGCCGGTGTCTGCGAGCTAGCCATACTCAGAAGCTGGGGGCCCTCTTACTATGTTGTAGTAGTCTGCTAGGGCACCCAGGTCAATATACAGGGATCCCTTTCTCTTCAGGTGTATAGAGTCTTCATTGCTGCATATAGATGAGTCTGAAAAAAATAATAATTATGATTTAGTGTCCGAAGCATAGATATAAGACCATTGCTCTATGTTAAGTATGAAACCAGCCCATTCAAATGCGTAATATACCAGTCATTTCTTTCAAATATCCCAGAGGGTAGATTGTTCTTCCCTTCACCCACTCCTCCAGACATGCACATACTGCAGAGGCTCAAGAACCCAGCTTTGTGATTAAAATTAACCAGAGACAGAACATTCATCGGGTTTTATTTGTCATTTCATTACTAACGCAGCATGACTGAAAGTGTCACTCATAACCTCAGCAGACGTCACTCGGAAGGGACATGGAGTAACAAACGTTAGGGCAAATTGCGTTGGTCAAGCTGCTGTTTCCAGGACACTGGCTGACACCTTTCTACACACCTGCCTGGGATGTCCCACAAAGTGAGACGTAACATCCCAAATCAAGCACGGGGTAAAATCAACACCCTCACACGGTGAGAGTGCTGATGGTTAAACCTGCTGACCTGCACGCCTGCTTTTCGTACTTCAGAACAGATAGTAAGATTACTTGTGTGGCTGTTTCTTATATCTAACTACACACATCGCATTGGAGTCTTTCTTCAAAGGTGGTCCCCCAGGCAGAAAAGGTTGACAGTCCTGCTCTGGACCACTGAATGATACATCCGATCGCGCAAAGTGAAATAAGGCTGAATTTAATTCGATCCAATCTCCTCAAACGTGACGTACAACCAAAGACAGCTTGTGGAATGAAATATATTCAGAGGGAGCTTGGAACTGGGACCCAGGAGGAAGATTTACAGTTGACCAGACTAGCAGAGAACAGTACCCGGAATGATTCTGTCATCTTCCTTTAGAACCGTTTGTTCAAAATTTCTCACAAGCGCTATAACCAGCTGGAATTCAGTCATCTCGTGAAACCCACGGGACGGCCCCCCCTGGCCTGTTGGAGGAGCAGCGGCGCAGAGGGAGGGGTAGACGTACCCTGGGTGGAGTCGGCCACCTGGCTCTGCTGGCGCAGCATGGGGTGCGTCCCCTCCCACAGGGCGGAGTCCAGGCTCCAGCAGCGCGGCTGATCCGCCCGCGGGGGGTTAACGGCCTCGTCCCGCAGCAGCTCGGCGGCCGAGCGCCGCTGCTTGGGGTTTCTCTCCAGGGCCCCCTCCAGGAACCTCCGCATGGGCGCGCTGCAGTCCTCGGCAATGTCCTCCAGCGGCGGGGCCTGCTTGTGGATCTGCCCGGGGGAGAAAAAAACGAGAGGGGCGTGCCATCAGGGCTGGAAAGCACGAGAAGGGTTGTAGAAACGAGAGGAGGCCATTCGGCCCACCTGGCCTGCTGGGCAGTCGGTGCGTAATGGAACAAGTAAAGGTTGATTCCCTGCTGAAAAGAGAAGAAGGTGAACACCACGTTTCAGCTGTGGAGCCTTCTTTGCGTGTGTGCAGAAAGACAGCCGAAACCCAAATTATCCTGAAACTAGGATCACTCCTTCCCCCTTCTCTCAACAACTCATTTCCTTCTAATCCTCTCTTTTCATTTGCAGGTTTTGAGATCACACCTCTTTTCACCTCTCGACTTCGCACCACCTGAGTGCCCACGCTGCTTCCCCCCTGCTCCCGCCTCCTCTCCTCTCTCCCATCTTTTGTTCTCCTGACCTATACAATATCAGCTGCTGACTTCTCTCTCTCTCTCACAGCCGACGAAGACTCCACAGCCAGAACGTCTTCTCTTTTCAGCATGAAATAAACCTTTGCTTGTTCCTTTGCAGCCTATACATGCTGACGCAGCTACGTACTGGAACAGCTAGCGCTTAATGGATCCAAGGATCTCGCCCAGCTGTTTCTTGACAGAAACCAGGGTAATGGGTTCAACAGCATGACTGGGTAGCTTGTTCAATACTTCCACAACACTTTGGGTCAGACAGTGACTCCTGTTCTTGGGTTTAAAAGCTTTCAAAAGCACAACCCAGGGAAATCTGTCAGCAACCCACTTGTGTAGGGAGTTTCTGGCCCTCCTAAAATACGCAGTGGAAACATCTACAGTATCTAAGTCCCATTTTATTTCTGTTCCCTTTTGTTTTAAGCTATTATGGGATGGGAGCCACACAATATTTTTTTTAAATCAAGCACACACAGGATTTAACAAAGAAACATTTCAAGTTTACATCGTCCTGTTCACCTCACAATTAATTTGTTGCATTAAAGCACTTCCTATTTTCTGCATGCACACAACTGAAAGCAGTAATGGAAAACCACAGTTTCAAAATAGTGGTATTTTTGGTTTCAGTAACTTGAAAAAGCAGAACCAGCTGTCTGAGAATGTACTGAAAGTGGAGATGGGTAACAGGATTTGAGAAAAAGAATGAAAAAAAACATTTAGAAAGAATGATTTTAGAACTCTGGCCTCAGTTCACAAAATCTATACTACTGTGTTATTTACTGTTACCTTTAGAATGCATTCTTAAAAAAACTGCAAACAAATGAAAAGGGGCATGGTTTTGTTACAACAAAACACTAAATAAACCAGAGGGTAATGACTTGTGAACAGGAATTGAAATTATATTTTTTCCATTTTTCTCAGCTTCTTTTTTTTGAAGAAAAATTAATACCCCCTACCCAGCCACAGCAAAGTGAAGAGAGAATATTTTTTATTATGGAAACAGCTTAACAAAAACAAAACATGACCAAAATGCTACACTTGCAGCAGTCACAAGATTGTATCTCCACCTTACGATGGAACGTACACACTAAGTGTGCAAAGGTGTTGATTGCAACATGTGCAGAGAAATAAAATGAGACAGTCTACTGAAATGACTGAGGCACATGAAGATGGCTACAGAAAGAAAAAGCACAAATACGCTGATGATCGTGAAATACTAACTTCTGGATTACAGCAGGATTACAGCCATGAACCTGGCAGGAAGATAGCCTTCATACTGTGTATGTGTCTGCATTACTGGTGCACATCAAATCAGACATTCATGCATTAAATCTAACAAAACACAGAAAAACAAAAATACTAACGAGACTTACTATATACAGATAGGAGTGATAGGCAGAAGGAGGGTATCTCTTCACCCAGGGAGGGCTGCCTGTCTGCATGTGAATGACCGTGGCGCCCAGGCTGTAAATGTCGGCCTTCGTCGTGTGACCTCTGCAGAGAACCACCTCGGGGCTCATGTACATCTGCAAACACAATGCCCAGTCTATCAGCTGGCAGAGCTCTTTCCACAGGAGACCTTCTTTTTATCATTTCCATTTCGAACTCAAACGTGAACCCCAAAGCAGTCTTCAGTCCTTCTTTCAATACAATTAAAACAGCACCCACCACCACCAATTGCTATAATGTCAAGGCAGAAACATCATTCAACCCCAAAAATCTCTCTCCCCTTGGCAGTTACACACAATGCTCTTTCTCTCTCCAAGACTTCCCCTTAAAACATGTCAGACGTCTTGCTATTAACACCCAGACACCTGGTCACCACTGCTGCCATTCATTTGAGTGGACAAAGACATCTATGGCAAAGTCGGTAGAGAGGAGAGCTAGCGTATTTAAACCATTAAAACCTCTCTGATCCATTTATTGGCATCAATCCATAGAAATGAGGGGAAAAAGAAGGTGGAAATAAACTTCATATCTCAGCATAAACTCTTGTAAACACTGACCATTTAGGCCTTGTGCAAGGACAGGGTACATAACATTACAAACAGACGAACTATTCAACATACTGTAGTCATATAGTAACCTACATCTTTTTATTACACTTCGCTTAAAAACATTAATATAACAATAATGATTTCTTTATGTCCCTTTACATTTTAGAGATATACATTTATTACTAATCAGTTTAACCACATAAAAACACCCAGCGGATATCCAGCAGATGAATCACCTCAGAGGTGACTGCCATTCTCAGCCTTTAAAAGCCCTGACTGTAAATTACTCAGAGCAGCTTTCTTCCTGGTTTCTTCCAACTACTGAAGCCACATTGTCAAACAGCACCCCTTACCTCAGTCCCGCGAAGATCCCTTGGAATGTAGACATCTTCCCTCATTTGGACAGTGAGGCCAAAATCCACCAGAACAGCTTTGGTTGACATCAGCACTATATTGCTGGCTGTAATGGAAAAAGGAAAAACAGAGGTCAGACCGAGCTCTCCAGTAATGGAATTTCAATCAAGCTGACATTTCACAGCGGTGCACAGCAGTAGTTTAAAAAGAGAACTCAGTTGCACACGTGCCATCTGTACAGTATGTTTCAGAGTGGTAAGGCAACTGAACTCTGAATATCTTTTAAACAATACTGTTAGCTTAGCACACGTTGAAAAATATTTGTAATTGTCCACTTCTAAAGCAACGTGCCTGTTATTAAATTATTTCCTTGCATACAGAATGCAGCTGCAGTATCAGGGCAAACAACATCACAAGAATAACCACAGATCCTTCATTCAAATTCAAAGATTTGAATGTAGACACTATTGTAAAAAGAAAGTCCTTAAGAGTGAACATGCCCAAGGGAAGAATATAAAACAAAGTACTTTAAAGAATGAGCCACAGACATGAAAAAAAAAACATCACCACCCTCAGTCACATGCTATAACTAATATTTCAGTGTCCTCATTTCATTGAAGCTCATCTGGAATTTCCAGAAGCCAGCAAGTCTACATTCCAGCACTACACAGTACATTTTTATCTTCTGACAAAAGGAAGGAAACATGAGACTCAAACCACTGATTTCCAGCATCAGGGAGTGTAGCATTACTACATTTACAATAATTATTGCTGAACTTTTCTTACTGACCTCTGTCAATAATTTACCAAGCTCTACTGGCCTTAGTTGGCTTCAACTTTTTAAAGCATGTGTTGATACAGCTTTATTATTAACACATGTGGGGTGGATCTGAGCCAGATTGATTTCATTTTCTGTTCAGCGGTGTTTCAAAAAGAAAAGTTTATTTTTTATCTGACTTAATCAAGGTGGTACAATCTAAATGTATGTCATCTCTTCTACCTCACAATAGCAAATATTCACACACAGAGATTACAGTGAGAGCTTCAATGGAACTGGTAGAGGTTAATTCCATCATGATAAAGTATTTAAAAAAGAAAACAAAAGTCTCAGAAGTGGAGCTTGCTGCATGTGTTCTACCACAATGTTTCAACTACTTGATGTGTGCAATGCCTGAAGAAGATACTGTTTTTGAAACACTGTGCATTTTCTTTTCTATTTATATTCTACTGTGGAATTGACCTCTATTCGTTTCACATACAATGTTGTCTTCCATTATTTGGATCAACTAAAAAACCTGCACTTAAATAACAGACTACGGCACTTTTGGATATCTGCATACTGTATTTCCTCATATAACCAATCAATAGAAATGTAAAATAATATGACCAAGTCTTGTGCAAAAGTGCCAATTATATAATGAATTTGACACACACCATTAAATCCTTAAATCTTCCCATTACTAATTTATTCCATCCGACTTCTGGTTTTGAAAAATGATTACTCTTCTGGTAAAACTGTTTAAAATAATACTGATATTTGCCCATTCACAAAAAATCAGAGATGGTAGTATACTGTATATGCATCATATTGTAACGCAACGGGGGCTCAGGCGGGCGCCCTTGCCGCATCTGGTCGGCCCAAAGTATAGGTGGCTCGAACCCGGGACTTCCGCGTCTCTCTGCAGCGACCTAGCCCCGTGAGCTAGAGAGAGATCTCTCTACAGCCCAGTAGCTGTGGTCCTGCTATCACAGGGAAGGGCGGTGATGTCACCCGCTCTGGTACGCCGGCTCTTACACACACTGCTTGTCGGCCGTAAGCGTTACAATATGCATTTATTAAACCTTCAGAATCATGTAAGAGAAGTACTGTGTTTTGTTCGGATCAGATTCACAGAACATGAATCTGATCATGTTCTCGATGCTCTTGATGGGCTTTGATGCAATCGGACCGACACGACAGCTTACGTTTAATGTCGTGGTGAATAACACTCTTGGAATGCAAATACTCCAGGGCCTTCAGAACTTGCTTGGTGACCCAGATGATCTCAAATTCCCTCATGGGGCCACAGCTCTCCAGCTTCTCCAGTACGGAGCCCCCCTCTCCCGCTTCCATGAAGAGGTGAATCGTCTGGTCCCACAGCAGGGCTCCGTAAAGCTCGGCAATGTTCTCATGCCGGAAGCATGCCTGGATTTCCACATCCGCTGGCTTAAAGTGCTCCACGGGAATCTAGAAGACACAGAGCACAGGGAAAGACTTGCCGTCACTGAATAAAGAAGAGATTTCTGCACAAGTTATTATCTACACAGGTTGCCCTTTGGGAAATCACCATCCCCAGTCTTCCTTCCAACCCACCCACTATACTTTCAGAAGCGTTTTTCCCTTTCCAGCACTTTCGGTTTCCTTTCAGAGCACGCTTGCCAAATCTCTGCTTGGAAAGTACACTTCTGTATTTTTTTGTTTCACATCACGAAGAAAAAAAAAGAACAGAAAACAGTTACCTGGTAAAGTAATTTAAAAAATAATATGGAGAATACATATCTTGTATAGCTTCATTATTCATGAGATGCGGCATTAAATCCAAGATTGCACATGGGTCAAAATAGAAATGTATCTCTTATCCATTACACACTACTGGCAAAACAAAACTATTATAATGTGTGTCATTTGCAGTTAGGATAGACCTCTTTTTCCTTTCATTTTCAGGGCTTTGCTGATATTTACCATATTACATTCAAGTGATTTTTTAACTGATGAAACAAGAAGAAATGCTTCTGAAGTCAGTTTAACCCTCACCCCCTTTTGTTAGGAATTAGAAAGCAGTAGAGTGCATTTCAGGGAAACCCCACCCTCTGCTGCTTTCATGAAAAGATTATGTTTTCTGACTAAATAAAGAATAACTGCATGTGTATGAACTTAAACACTTTGGACAGCTCCCTGTAACTTCCATATTGCTCCAATGTTTTGTTTGTCTGCGTCAATGAACTATAAAGGATATTATGTAGAGTGTAAGTACTAACTGGACTCATGTAGTAGAGCTGGGCAGACAGATAATACAGGCATACTGACACACCACATTCAGGGTGAAGTTATACACCTAAAGTCATACAACAACAGAATCATTGAATGGTGTTTTCATTTTCAGAACCTCTGGAATACTACTGATATCTTACAATACATACAAGTACAGGGTACTTCGGTGTGTTTATGCTTAACGCAATGGTAGAATGAGCTCCGACTGCAGTTTAGAAATCCTGAAATTAGGCTATCAGTTATCTGTAGCATTGGAAATTATACCTTTTATCCTCTCCCTATATCACAACATGAATTAATCTGCAGCTGTTCCTTTATAATCACTGCTCATTTCTACTGTTTGTTGAAGGGAGTTTCTGTTGAGCTTCCTGAGTGGTTAAGTACATTAGTTTCAGTTTGCAGTCTTGTTTTAGGCATTTACGGTGCTTTCCACATCCCATTGCTTTGCTCAAAATCTTTGATCAAAATCTCTCATCTTACTGTTTTTAAAAGTTCATGTGCATTGGTCACTATCCATCTCCAGACCGAGGCTACACCTGAATGTGCTCTACCAAACCTAGAAAAGTTCACTTTTAACTTACGTCAAACGCATTCGTGAACTCCAAATGCTAGAAAAAAAAACATTTTTTCCCGTTTGCAGCACAAATAAAATTAGAAGATACTACACTAACTATAGTTCTCTTTATTCAGTACATTTTCATTAAACATTACAATCCATTTTTGGGTTAGCTAGCTGTTTTATTTCAAAATATATTTATATTCAGATGGTACAGTGGCACAGTGGTTGGCATTGCTGCCTAGATTCAAATCCTGGACTGCTATGCGTGTGGAGTTTGCATGTTCTCCCATGTTTGTGTGGGTATCCTCTATGAGCTCCAGTTTCCTCCCACAGTTCAAAATATAATGGTAGGTTAACTGGCTTCTGCTAAATTTGGCTGTGGTGTGAGTGTGTGTGTTTCTGTGTCTGTGTTCCTGTGATGGTTTGGCGTCCCATCCAGGATGTTTGTATTCATTATATAAAAAACTTACTAAACATTAGCATGCATCTACTAAAACCTAAAATATTCCTTGAATTATTTTTCCAGCAAGTCAAGCCTATGACGAAACCGAAGAAGATGGTTTTGTATACTGTATAATGTATAATTGTGTAGCTGAGATTCATATGGGTTTTGTCTACCCCACAGAAGAACTATTCTGACAAAACAAGGATGCTAGTCTCACAGCAAGTGGTGAATGTGAACAGTAACAAGCACTCTAGTTATAAAAGCCTCTACAGATTGTACCTTCAACCGGCTCGTGCTTATTGCACAAGACTGCTAAAGAAAACTGTTTTGCAACTGTCAGACTGAAGCACAGCTTGGCTTACTTCCACACACAAGGCAAAGTTACAGTTACCCTAAATGGCACTTTTTCCTTCTTTTTTGTGCATGAGCAGTCTGGGTGGCACTGATTCAGGTCTTCACTTACAAGTTTACATGCCATTCGCTTTCTGGTTTCTGTGTCCTGAGCCAGATGGACTTTCCCAAAAGATCCCTTGGGGATGTGCCCTGAGCCAGGGCTCCTGTAGGTCAGTTTCCAGGGAAACAGGAGCACGTCAGAGTCAAAACGATAGCGCCCATCTTTCACCACCATGTCTTCCTGCAAATAACCACAGAAACTGCTTTCACAGGACTGAAGACGTCGCGTTTGCAAACCTTTGACATAGTATCTCTCACCGCAGCTTCTCGGAAACTGTTCTAATATGCCTTCTGGTATGCCACATGTAACGGTAAATGAAAACAAAATGTAACCGGGATTACAGCAGAAATAAGTGATGCCTATTTCATCTTTGGTTGACATTTTTTTTGTGCAGTTTTGATTTATGAGAATTGAAAAGCTGCTTTGTATGTAATAATCTCAACTATTCAACTGTGCACGTCATTGCACTTTCATTCCAAGCTTTCCTAATTGCAGCACACTACAGGCTTAACACATCTAGCGCCTTGTGAGAAGAACATCTTTTCTTCATTTGAAAACCCAAGCACATCAAGAATAAGTCATTACAGCACAGTACCAAAAAAAACAGATGTTTGAACAGATGTTATACATTTTGCACTTCCAGGCACTTTATCTGCAAACAAGCAGTAAGTATTTGTTCCTTGACATCCCAAACTAAGTGTATTATTGTATCTTTTAGCCCTATCAATGAAATAATGTTGCTTGCTTTGAGTCTCCGAGTAAAAAAAGGAACAATATGAAAGCAATAAGTAAACAAATAAATTAAATGACCCCACCGTGTTAGCAAAAGTAAAGTATGAAAAGAAAGGCAAAAAGGCATATGAATCATGTAGTTATTCAATCTGATAATATTCATCGTGCCACATTTTATGCAATACAAAATCATACATTAAGTCATCTTTATCATTTAATTTAAAGCTTCTGATACTGTGACTCAATTAGCCCTTTTTAAAACTGAATAATATTGGTTATCTAATAAAAATTTCCCTTGCACAGTTTAAAAACTGTGTGCAGTATGTAAAATCTGGCAGATCTGTTTGCAATTACTTTCCAGCCTTTTCCAATTACTCAGGGGGTTCCACACGGCTCTTCCTGGTCCCTGCGTTTTTCATCTTGATTAGTAAAATTACTGTATAAACGTTACCTGGTGCCTGCACAGTTGCCTCTAAACCAACAACACCAACATATTCAATCAGATCCGCTCTATCATCTGCAGTGAATGGCCAGTTTCCTGTATGATTTTGTATTGCATAAAATGTGGCACGGTGAATATTATCAGATTGAATAACTACATGATTCATCTGCATTTTTGCCTTTCTTTTCATACTCCACCTTTGCTTACATGGTGGGGTCATTTAATTTATTTGTTCACTTATTTCTTTCAGATAGTTCCTTTTTTACTCTGAGACTCAAAGCAAGCAACATTATTTCATTGATAGGGCTAAAAGATGCAATCATACACTTAGTTTTGGACATCAAGGAACAATTACTGCTTGTTTGGAAGTTTTACATTTCTGGCATTCGATAAAAATAATTTGAACTAGTCCTGATAACTTTTTTTCCACTTAAAGTCAAATTAAGAGTTGTTGTCAATACTGGTTTATAAATATCTGGGGATTTAAATGCGTAAAGCATAAATTTTCATAACTCATATGAATACATTACAATCTAAAGCCTAGACATAATTTCCCTTATCACAACAACTTTTGCTTTACGCGTTCCTCTGGTTGGAGTTGGACCATCTGTACTCCTCTCCTTGGATGATTGTTTGCCAACTGAAAGGCCACTGAATCTGCAATCCACCATAACATTTATCACATTCATTCTCTGATAGATTCACCATCTCTCCAAACCAGGAGAAAAGCTTAATCGATTTAAGTTACAGACCTTTTACAGGGAAACCCCCTTCTTATCTTTATAACATGCTGTACTGCAATTCTCTGTACCATCCTGCAATGTAAGAAGTTTATCAAACGGAACCTCCTAAGTGCAATTCATGTACTATATTTGGACACAAGCCATCGACTGGAACAATCTGCAGTGTAAACTCCACCTTTGTACTCAAGGGTTTTTTAGTTGTATGGATATATCTTTTCAACCTGACAACTGCACTTGTTGACACTGAAAAGTCCTGTTGGTTCACTGTATGTCCTGTTGTTTTGTTTGCATTTTTGTAATTGCTCTTTTTTGCCTTCAACTGCTTTGTCTTCCGTGCGACAATGACAATAATGTCTGGGTCACGATGTCATTGACGACGCTGTTGTACGGCCTCACCTGTTTAAACAACGTACCTTGTTTAACAGCACGCCCGCCTCTTGTGACTGGTGCTTGAAAACAGCCGGTGGTGTATTAGAAACCCGGTTAGCAAACGTCAGAAGGTCTGCGACTGTTCCATATCTGACTCTTTCCACCAGAAGATTGTCTTTATTATCTTCTGGTACCAAAGAATCCACAATTTCCACATTTTCGTCCATTTCCTCTTGGGTGAGGCTCTCTTCAAACAATTCTGCTCCTTCGTCGGGATAAAAGGTCCCCATAACGCTGATAAAATCCTCCAAATTCATGTGAGCTAATAAAAGTCTTATCCCTTCATTTTCATTCACGTACTCCATAGTGATGCTTTTCTCCACTGTGCCTGAAATGAAACATTTGTGAAACGATTAGTGGGGTTAGCGGAGTGGAGATGTGATTTCATGGTCTGTACACAACCTGTTTGGGAGAATGAACTGTACAGCATACCGAAATAAAGAATGGTGAACACGCGATGAAACTAACGCATTTTCCTTGCAAAGCAAAGGGGATTTCACGAACATCCCTGTGAGGGAACCCCCAGGTAACCCACCCACGCAATCTTCTCATTACACGGCGGGACGCTTTCAAACTTATTCTCCACCTTATGAGCAAACCCCATTCGCCTATTCTACTATATGTTCACAGTTAACTTCAAAGTAGCATACGGGGGGAGTCTGTAGCAATTATGAGCTAGTAATTTCAAAGCAGTTGACCTCGATCTCCTAAGAGTCTGCCGCTTCTTTAAGCATGCAGTGTGCGACAGCAGAAAAGCGTTGCACTCGTTAAGTGTGTTAACTGCCATTCACGGACAAAAACATATACAGTAAACTACAGCAGCCGCCACCTCGATCGTGCGAAAAGCAAGTGTTTTAACAAAATAATGTTGTTCTACAGTCAATATATGAAAATCCCCATTCGAGCAGTACACCGAAAGGTTAACGTTTATTAATCCCAAAGCGATCCACAATGAGGCTTCCCTGTCAATTCTTGAAACCCTAATTTCCAAAGGTGAATGCTCTCTAACGTGAAGTATTTTCAAGCAAAGTCAGTGTGATATTACTAAGGTATGGACAGTAGCACAATAATGTTATGAATCACAACATAACGAGAAAAACCGATTCAATTCATGGTGTATTATTTTACAACATTTACACTAAACATAAATGGAAAAAAAAAACGTTAGGATTTAAACGTTCTTACCCAGAGCAACAGTTACGTTTTAAACCTTTTGAAGTCTACATCGCAGCAGGGTTGCCTTTAGTCCAGCGAGCCGTCATCCAAATTGAGTTTAATCAGCAGCTGCTCGCACGACGTACTGTATTTGATACAGCGGGGGAGGTTCCGAAAATAGAGGAAGTGCAGTGGTTTTGTAGAGGAACGATACAAAATATCGTGCCCTGCTCTTGATCGAATAACCAGTCTTTTAAAAAGTTACCATTTTACGCTTTTGACGTATAGAGAAAAGATTCAAGCGTGTTGAACGATGTTGCTTGATGCCGTGAAAACAGCTTGATCGGAAAATCCCTAGTTGAAGCACATCCTCGCACTCGTAATTATCCGCGTTACATTTTCATCACGAAAGGGGAATGTCGTTTTCATTGAGATTTATTTTTCTTTTTAAAAACGTATTCGTTTTTTGTTTCCCAGACCACAAAATAAATCGTAGTGTCTGAAAAGCACGTTTGACGGCTGCCCGGAGGCTTTTCAGTGTAGTATATTAGTGTTAGCAAGCAGTCACCACAGCAATGATAGCGACTGAATCAAAACAACACTTTTATGGTGTAGCTACACGAGAAACTTTTAAAAGCTTTCAAGACGATTTTTAAATGTAGCTTGTAAATGCCATGTGTTGCTCTGAATTCACTACAAGGATAAGACAAGTAAATGTTAGCCGATCTGTTTACGTCAGTGGTACAGTGTTGAGAAATGTTTCCTCTGGTTTATAAGAACCCCACCTACTCCGAGACCTCCACTGGACAGGAACTTTCCGTTTCATGCGTTTTTGCGCGTCGACCTTTTGAAAGTTAAAAAAAAACGACATGACGTACGGTTTGTGGACTGTGTACAAAAGACTGAGCACCCTGCGAATTAAATTGTAGCAGGAGCTGGCAACTAATTCAACCACTACTGTTTTTTTGTTTAAAAAGAGTGTACAGCCCTTGCAAACAAATCCGGATAGTTCGTTTTTTCCCCACGTTTTAATACATACCCTTTTGGTAATAATAATAATAATAATAATAATAATAATAATAATAATAATAATAATAATAA